AAAGATAAATCAGAGTCGTGAGTGACGATTACGATTTAGTTTTACGCCGCGCGTTAAAATACATTGGCGCTAATACTCAAGGACTATCATAAGTGGCGGTGATGGCGGTCTGTAAATAATCGAGTCTGGACCGGACAATCCAGTGATCAACATCATGAGCATCTATCTACGCAATTGGGATCAATTGTGTCAACCAAGTCAGCGAGCCTGACCACCCAATCCCGTTAGTCGCCTCTTACGACAAACATGGCTTACGGAAGATATAATCTAACCCGGACCTTCACGGGTTTGTAGATAAAGATGTTATGATAGATATGGCCACTACGTTTTTGTTATAAACAGTCCGATGGATCAAGGTATTAATATCTCTTCCTTTACATTTTGTTGTTTAGGATAGTGGTATACTAATTTGAAAGATCAAACGATTTGACGTAACTAAACTTGTATTGTGCAGGGTTGTGTTAAAGAATAAGAAATCATGACAGTTTTGGAAAATTCCCGAGATTTGTCTTGATTACTTTCTGTAAATGTTCTTTTGGTATATTAAATATTATGGTTGATCATTGAATTTAGGGATTTAGGTACGGAGTAATATCCTCGAATGAATGACTGCGTGCGTACGTGCGTTTATGAATGAATGAACGAATGATTACCTTCAGATAAAGTTTCCGAAGTTTCTCCTAACATCATTAACGTGAAATTAAACACTCGAGTGATATTAATTAAGTTTTTCTGTAAATGTATAAAAACCTTTTATTTTTGGTTCTATTAGATATAGAATCAATGAAATAGGGCTTTGGCCGAAATCTAGTGGATTAAGAATTTTGACTAATGATATCAATCCTCGAGTGAGTGAGTGAGTGAATGGGTGAGTGAGTGAATGTCTTTATTTCCTCCAGATAAATGCGACGTTTGCCAATCATTATCGTGCAATTAAAAAAGTCATAAAAGAATCAACATTTAAATACATGTGTATCAAATGTGTGCCAATCCGTAAGGAAGTAAATAGGATTCTGGCTCTAACGGGATCCCCATGTACGGAGTTCAGTATATACACAACTGGGAAATGAATCCACTGGCCATCTTATAGCAATTAATGGCATCTTGCAATCACGCCCAAGATAACAGACTGCACGTTTTGCAGATATTTCTCAATGCCGTTGGCACAGTGTTGCAAGCTTTTAAGGATCCTTCATCCTGTGTGATGCTTTGGTTAAGGACCGTGCAAGAAACATATTGATCAGCCGTATTGACGTCATATATACATGATGGTTCGCCATTTCCTACTTTCTTAATGTTCTTTGGAAATTCGTTTCTGTCGAACCTCTCCCCATTTCTCTGCTTATAGATTATAACTCCTTATCAATCAGCGGCGAAGCCAGTCACATCATAGCTGTGTATTACATAAATAATATCAAAGAAGACGCGCGGAATATCCATCGCGAACTAATAAGTGAAGACCCTGGATGTATCTTTCTGCACCATGCTCAATGGATAAAGCTGTTGTTGATAACGCCGTTGCCTGTATAAGTGTTCGTATTAACGATTCACAACTATTGCTTATCGACCATTTGTTAGATAAATATTTAAATCTGAAATTTAAAAGATTTAGCTTTAATAATAAAACAAAGTTTAAAATGACTGATTTTTTATTTTAGAAACCAAATCATTTTTCACTGCCAATATATTAAATATCTATTTGCTCGGGTGACCAGTTAGACTGTAAATTTAGATGAAGGAAGGTAGAGTCTAACGGGATTCAACCTTATACCAATACTGCAGATTTCCATCGTCCAAATTTTCAGAGAAGACCTTTTGTGATTAACAAAGCAAACAAAAAATAATTGAAAAGATTAAGGTATCACTTGGGGCGGTGGGGTAGTCTAGTGGTTATAGCGTTGGTTCGTCACGCCGAAGGCCGGGGTTCGAATCCCCACATGGGTACAATGTGTGAAGCCCATTTCTGGTGTCCCCCCGCCGTGATATTGCTGGAATATCGCTAAAAGCGGCGTAAAACCAAACTCAGTCAGTCAGTAAGGTATCACTTGGTAGTGAATGTTCTCATCGTGGTTCGTTATGAGCAATAAGTGACATTGGCATGGTATTGTTCTGGTGTTATTTTGCTTCAGCTGACCAATCAGTTTTACGAATAGCTTGCACCTGCAAATGCAAAGATTGAAATTCATTCCTCTCGATTTTATTTAGTGTAAGAAATGTTGTTGGTGTTGGGCTGCCCTTCTCGACCGGAGTGCACTAATGCCGTCAAAGGGAAGAGAACTCCGTATTTACACGGAACATCAATGGAACGTGCATATGAACAGATGAATGCATTTCATGTCAAGAATACTCTACTTTGAGACATCAAAATCTTTCTACTCCGGGAGAAAAAGTCCGTTTTTTTATCAGCAAATGCGATCAGCTGAAACTAATTTCTCAACACACTTGTGCCTTTCAAAAAATACACATAAAGGCCAATCCCGTCATAGTTTTCCTCTATATCGGAACTTTATCTTGAACGTTCTCGAGGGACTTCCTGAAGGTATCTGGTTCTTAAGGTCGACATTTCCGTTTCAACTCTTGATGACGCCACATCAATCAATACTATGGAATAAAGACCATGCGCACACAAACGGTGCTGGTATTACCATATCAAGGCCCTAGGTGACATTGGAATTGGAGGCTAGATGTTGTATACATTAAAGATACAAGCACACGGGAAGGTCACAGTTAAACTATTGCGATGGTGGGCATACATGCATGAGAAATATATATAGATGATGAGGATGACGATGTTGGTGTTGATGTTGACGTTGATGGTAATGATGTTGGTGATGATGAGGAGGAGGAATAAGATGTTAATGTTGACGCTGATGTTGACGTTGATGGTGATGATGTTGGTGATGATGATGATGATGAGGAGGAAAATGATGTTAATGTTGACGTTGATGTTGACGTTGATGGTGATGATGTTGGTGATGATAAGGAGGAGGAATAAGATGTTAATGTTGACGTTGATGTTGACATTGATGGTGATGATGTTGGTGATGATGATGAGGAGGAATAAGATGTTAATGTTGACGTTGATGGTGATTATGTTGGTGATGATGATAAGGAGGAATAAGATGTTAATTTTGAGGTTGATGTTGACGTTGATGTTGATGATGTTGGTGATGATGATGAGGAGGAATAAGATGTTAATGTTGACGTTGATGTTGACGTTGATGTTGACGTCGATGAGGAGGATATTGGTATTGATGTTTATGATTATGGGCGTACATGTATGAGAAATATGGATAGATGTTGATGAGGACGATGTTGGTGTTGATGATGAGGAAATGGTGGAGGATGTTAACCTTGAAGTTGATGATGATGAGAAAATTATTTTTATGATTTATTAATTAATTTATTTTTCGTGAATCGTATACTTCTTGAAAATACATTAACAGATTCATTTTCTATACGATTTACTGAAAATTCTAGACATGGTGCATAAAAGTTAGCGTAATTTAAGAGTTGATAATGATGACCCATTTACAGGTGTAGACGACCCCATGAGAACGTCAACATCAGTTCAGTACATCCGATTACACTAATTCAAATGAACTAAAAATAACACAAGAGCCTTCAGACGTCATTGCATCCGAAGATTAAATTACCGATAACAATTAACTTCAATCAGCCTGAGGACAACTGTCATGCGCTAATGGGGATGTTTTGAAATGATGTCATTGGCATGATCTGTATGCAAATGCATGATTATTGTTAACATTGCGCGCTAAATAATCCATCATGAACCTGAGTGGTGTTTTGATGGAGCGTTTGACCGGTTTTAACCTGTTTTAGCAATATTCCGCCAATATCACTTCGTGGGGACACAAGAAACAGGCTGCACACTTTGTACCTAGAGGGATATTGAACCAGTCTACGACTTGACGAGTGAACTCTTTAACCACGAGGCTACCCCACCGCTCAAAGCGGAAGGATAGGGTATTCCCCGACCGCGTCATAACGGGAGACTTTAAAAGATGGTACTTGTTTTTACCCTGCCTGGCGCTCGACAATTATAGGATAGCACAAGAGTTGTCAGGTTCTCAGTGTCTAAATGGGGTGTCCATCGTAAACCAGGACATTGTATCTCTGTGAGCAAGTACTATAAAACCTGATATACTCCGGACTAAGGACAATACATGCAGTCGACGCCATGCATGTTCGTTAGTCTTTGTGGAGGCCTTAAACCCCCATTTCGTTTCATTTCACCTTACCTTTGTGACCTGGGCCCACTTGCACAAACCAATCTTAGCGCCAAGACCATCTTAAGTCTATGCTAGAAATTAGTCCAGAAACTGAGTAATTCGGACAAGAAGCACACGTCTTGAATGCCAGTAAAGGTATGTGTCTATTTTCGTTTAATTATTCAAATTACATTATATTTTTGTTTCGAGATTCCTTGTTAACGACTGGTAGATTGTATATGTACACAATAATAAAGGCCGATGAAAATGTATATCTTGCCACTATTTACTGTCAAGAGAGAGTGTAGCCTAGTGATTAATACGTTCACCTGTCACGCCGAAGACCCGGGTTCGACTCCCGACATGGATACAATGTGTGAAGCCCATTTCTGGTGTTCCCCACTGTGATATTGCTGGAAGAGCGGCGTAAAACCATACTCACTTACTCACTCGATCATTCCATTGTAGCGCAACGGCCGTTTTGTACAAGTCGGCCCAGTCCTTAACATATAACTGCGTTTGTAACGAAACCACTAATAGCGAGCTGACGGATATTGAACTGTTGTCGTCCAGTCTAAAAGATACTCACTTTAGTCGAAGTACATATAACTGAGTTTTTATCGGCCTAAAACTGCTCCCTTTGAGTTCGTTATAACAGTAGTAAATTGTTTATGTTCTGTTGAGACAATGGATACAAACATCCTAAATGCATTCACCAAAATGTTCTAATAATGTTGCTTGGTTTTAATGATGTTTCCTTCATTGCAGGTTTCCTTAAAAATACTATGCGCGGGTTCACACTTTGTAAAAAGAAAAATAGAGGTGAGTTTTTACGTTAGCTTTTATTTCTGTTTAATAACGTTCACACTAGTTAATATGTTGTGATTTTACTAGTTGTTTGTCATGCAACACAAACAAAATTAAATGTATGCAGTTTACGCTTAGGTCGAGTGATATATAAAATGAAATCTCACGCTCATGATATGTGTCCGCTCGTCACGCCGAAGACCCGGGTTCGATTCCCCACATAGGTACAATGTGGCAAGCCCATTTCTGGTGTCCCCGGCCGAGATATTGCTGGAATATTGTTCAAAGCGGCGTAAAAACATACTCACTCACTCATTTATAATGGAAAACCCCCGTGAAGGCATAGTTCTGATCGGGTTTGGTGTTACTGATTGTAAATAGATGCACTTGTAGGCAGCGCACGTCTTGCGATGCCATTATTTTTTAATCCTTTATAACAAAATAGTTCTAATCAAAATATAATGGGAATAGATTGATTTTGAGCTTTGTCTTGGAGAATTCTTTTGCTAGTGCCTCTCGGGCGAAGAGAAATTGTCATGGAAGTGACATTTAACAATTTGCATATTCCAATGGATTTATTTGAAAAAGCAACAACTGGTATTGTGAATCGATCGAATACACGGCGTTTTCCCTGAAAACTAATTAACACGTTGGAGACCCGATCTAACGTTGCTGATGTCGTTCACGTGAAAGTGTTTAATAGCGTTTAACAATGGTAAACTGGGGAAAGTATTCTCGAAAGCTGTCAAAAACAAATGTCTGGTTTAGCGTGTGTGGTTTGTGTACAAATACATGCATTCAAGTGGAATGGTGACATCAGCCATTGTGGCTATCATGGATGTGTGACGGTCGATGATGATAGGACTGGTCTTCTCTTTTAAAGGATTGTTTTATTGAACTAATGATTATTGAAGACACTGTCCAGGCTATCGGGAAGGCACTTCAACCCCGTTTCATGAAGCAATCACAAAGGGTTTACCTCAATGGTAATGGACATTTTATGGTATTACGGTAGCGCTCAGATCGTTTCGTGGAAGGGGTGAGTGAGTGTAGCTTTAAGCCGCACTCAGTAATAATCCAGCTATATGGCGGCGGTTTGTAAATAATCGAGTCTGGACCAGACAATCCAGTGATCAATAGCATGAGCATCGATCTACGCAACTGGGATTCGATGACATGTGTCAACCAAGTCAGCGAGCCTGACCACCTTTATGGCAGGAGGTCCAAGTAACTGAGTAGGTGAGGAAATATACAACGGAATGTATATTATGGCATTTGGGTCAGGTAAACCAGGGAGGGAAAGTATGGGCATCGGGATCATGGATGTTACGACGCTGAACAATCAACTCCCCTTTTTTATGTCTGCTCTTACGTTATAATGAGTGGAATGCTTGCTATAGTACTCATATTCGTCAAGGAGAGCCTCTGCATACGTGAGTATGGATATTCAACGCGTTGCAGCTCGTGGAGAGTTGCGTCCCTTTGGCATGTACGGAGCAGGATCGTGGGTTCGAATCCATGATTCACCTCGATAATTTCTGTTTGTCATCAGTATATGTTATTTGATGTGGTAATCATCTTAGACCTGCGACATTTCGGACTTTCTGTTATGAGTACAGTCTGATATAATGATGATGGTAATGAATTTATGTAGCGCCTGTTTCCAAAAAGTATTTGCTATTTGTATAAGTCTGAAAGACTATGAGATGGATAATGTGATTCAGAACATATAAGTTTTAGGGATTTTTTTACAGAGTTTTTACAGCAGATTTCTCTCATAGTGATTGATAGGTTGTTCCAGAGTAGGTTCCATCCCTTCACTTTTTATGAATGGAATCGTGTGGGAAGAACAATAGTAACAATCAGTGAAGATAAGAGAACATCATATGAACATCACTAAACCAGACAGAGAATGACTGCACAGGACTGGCACGTCAATGCCCGTGTCATGAACCACAATACATATGACAAGGATATCAATGCACGTGTCATAAAAATCAATGCACATGACAAGGATATAAATACACGTGTTATGAACCACAATACACATGACAAGATATCAATGCACGTGTTATGAACCACAATACACATGACAAAGATATCAATGCACGTGTCATGAAAATCAATGCACATGACAATGATATAAATACAAGTGTTATGAACCACATCACCACGCCGAAGACCCGGGTTAGATTCCCAAGATGGGTACAATGTGTGAAGCTCATTTCAGGTGTCCCCCGCCATGATATTACTGGAATATTGCTAAAGGTTGCGTAAAACTAAACTCACTCACTCACCCACTCACTCACTCACACGTCTAAAACACAAGGGACGCAACTCTACTCGCTCATTCAAAAACTGTTCCTGAACCAGAGTCAGCGTAATTCTGTTGCTGACGCCAGTGTTCCTATAAAACATAGGGCGGGCTCACTGGCAAAATCACTACTGGTATTGCGCCAACCACTCAGACGTTGATTTATTGTCTGTGCTATTAAGAAACGTTTACAGCAGATGCACTGTGTACAGGGTGCACTTGCACTCTTAAGCAGGTGCAGAGATGTTAACCATCATTTGCACCTACCTTTCTATTGTGAATCACGAATGACAAGCTAAGATCACAAACATGCAAGATGACCATCTATGGAAACTATTCCGCTGGACATCTCTCTCATAGCATATATAATGCAGCTATCGATCCTGTGTGGGAGGGATATATATCAAGTAAAAATAGACTTCCATAGCTTTTCATTTGCATGTTTAACCCCTTTCTCTATATTCAAGATTGGGAGGGTTCTCGGTGGATTAATATTTCATTTGTTTCCTGTTCTTTGTTCCCCCGCAGGAACTTAGTTACATTGTGAGGATGTGCTGTTCACTGACTGACAGTGATTCATACACACATGCGACAGTCGGATTCGTACAATGGAATCAGATGCAGATGTCTTATTTCTATGGAAATGCTTTTGTCATAATGTGTATTTGTTTGTTAAAGACGCTCGTGCGTGACCAGGGACGGTGGGGGTAGCCTAGTGGTTAAAGCGTTCGCTCGTCACGCCAAAGACTCGGGTTCGATTCCCCACATGGGTACAATGTGTGAAGCCCATTTCTGGTGTCCCCGCCGTGATATTGCTGGAATATTACTAAAGGCGACGTAAAACTCACCCACTCATGCGTGACCAACAGAAATTACAGTTAAATGCTCCTCAAGAACTTGTTATGTTAACTGGTGTTCCTGTCATGTTCTTTTCATGTTCACTCATGTCCTTGTCATGGTGATCTGTGATCTTGACATGATATTCAATGTTCCTTTCATGACTATCTGTGTTCTTGCCATGGCTATCGATGTTTCACTCTGTTCATTGACGCTCTTGACACATTCTTTTACCTTCTTTTCTTTTTCATTGGTCGGTTTGACATGTACAAATGATCTTATCGTACTTGCATTTGTGTTTATTATGTTTATTAATTATCTTGTCATGTCCTTCCGTATTTCAAATCTAGAAAACTGACAGGTTAATCTAACCTGGTAATCATGTTCATGCACAAGAAAATTCGTTGACTCGAGGTCTTTGGGTCTGTAAAAGTTATCCTTCATTGTGTACCCATTTATTCTTACAATAGCGCAACAGCCGTGCAACATTGCAAGCCAAGACGAATTCCGTATTGCACTCCGATTTCTGTTGTTTTGGAAGTTGTATTGTGTCAAATATTATTCTGTTACGTTTTGTGCAAAACCTGGCACTTGATTGGTGATGTCAGGCGTAGGAATGCGAACTCATGTGTGATACGTCCCTTGCGGGGAGTGATACTCAAAACGGAAGTGTGAATAATTACGTTCAGTGTTAAATTAAAACAGTTTGTGTCTTGGGTACGTAATGAATATGGAACGTCATACTAGTGCACTTTGACCTTATGTATTATACGAGAAGATGTCATGATAGGAGAGAAACAACGAGCTCGAAGAATGAGTTCCCTCCAAGCATATCTTCAGGTTCAATACATAAGGTCAAAATGCACTGGAACACCTACACTTTCATATGAAATTTCAATGACATTTGTACAATATAACCTGAATCACAAATGCATAATCAGCTTTTTCCTATCAAAACACCTACCAATGCAGAAAAATATTTCCGTAAGTGTATGTACTTTCCATGTTAACGGGTTGATGAAACTGTCGACAGTGTTCTAATTACACAGAATAACAATTCGATGCCTTATTAGTTAATCTCAAGAATAACCTGCATTTATGATCTGACCATTTTTGAGAATTTCATTAACCTATTTACATAAATTATATTCCGCCTTTTGTCCGCGATGGAATCTATTTGGACAAATAAACGATCCTGGTCTTTCATGTTTATGGAATTGTTCGATCGTCACGCCAAAGACCTTGGTTCGATTCCTATTGGTTCAGTGCGTGGAGTTAAATTTTTTCTCTCTCTCGCAGTACATCAAAATATCAGAACTCGATATTATAAAATAATTATGTATCTGCTAAAACCGAGGAGATTATCTTCGAGATAAAATAGATGACAATCATACTTAAATTTTTTCTCGTCTATGCGTGACCCATGATATTGCAGCTTGTAAGCCTGTCTGTTCTAAGAACACAACGTAAAGGAATGCTGTTTTTGGCACATATTTTTTTCCTTTCCGAGACAAGCGATACGTTATGCAGATTGAAACAGAGCATATCATTTCCGTCAACTGGATACAGCCGACCCAACGTGGTACCAATTACGCTGGAGTTCTGTAATAATTAAAGCTATCAAAACCTTACAATCAATAACGTGCGTGGACGGATGTATCATGAGTTCCATTCTTTGAATGAAGCCTTTGAATTGTCACTTCAAAGAAGATATTTATATCTTATTCGATATCGCTGACATAGCGATATAAAGCGTTCTCTTACAAACACTAATCTATACTGAGATTAGTTCAGGTTGAATGCGTTCTGTCATGTCCTATATATCAGTCAGTGGCTCGTTCAGTTTCACGGAAACGGTTCCTGC